GATTACCTAATAGGATCCTAAACATAAGCCACAAAAAGGAACTGCTATGGGGCCTATTGGTAACCTCTACTCCCACAACTCTTCGGCTGCCATCTGAGGCGCACCAGCCAGTGCTCACATTAGATGCAGAAATGCTGTGGCTGGGCCGCATGCATCCCTGAACCCTGAACCCTACCGCCAAGGCTTCGTTCGTTCTTTGTAGGGCTTCTGAGAGTCTAAGATATAGGGCTGGATTTCAAGGCTTTTGGGAGTTTCGGATGAAGGGTTTTTGCATGGTTCAATGCCTTGGGGAGGTTGCGACTTTCGCTGTTTAGGGGTTCAGGATTTGGTCCTGTTTAGGGCTTGTGGTTACAGTGGTTTTAGGGTTTAGGGCTTGTGGTTACAGTGGTTTTAGGGTTTAGGGCTTGTGGTTACAGTGGTTACAGGGTTTAGGGCTTGTGGTTACAGTGGTTTTAGGGTTTAGGGCTTGTGGTTACAGTGGTTTTAGGGCTTAGGGCTTGTGGTTACAGTCGTGGGTTACTTCGGCCCCTTGCCACCGAATGATGTCTGGAACCCGCAAGTTCTGATTCTATATGAATAACTACCCAAAGGCTCCTATGTAGTTCCTTTTTGGATAGTATACTATGATTCCTTACCAAAAAACCATGACAAACCCAAAAAGGAACTACATTGGAGCCTCTGGGGAATAAGGGCAGGCATACAGTAAAAGCATAGTTGGCTCCTTATTTCAACGATTCTACATTACATACGTTCGCAGTGTTGGAATGTCAACCCCTTTTCACTGCGTCAACTTTGAATTGGGATGCACCCAGAAGTTCGCACCCCATCGCTTTAGGCTTCTAGGGGGCCGCCCTTAAGCCCGAAGCTCATCTCCATTGTTTCAATTGGTGGGCATTCTGGGTCGGTTCATGTACCCAAACCCTAGACCGAGACCCTAGTTCAACCCTTAAACCCTCAGGACTCCGTTCTTGTGAAGCTTCTAGTTTAGGGTTTGGGGTTTAGGGGTTTAAGGTTTCGCGTGTGTTCGGATCTCGCGGTGAAGGCCTGAGGCTTTGAATTGGGGTTAGACCCTAAACCGTAAACCCTAAACCCTACGAGCCCTCCGGAACCCTAAACCCTAAACCTTACGAGCCCTAAACCCTGGAAGGGAAGACCGGGCC